CCCCCCCCGCATTCACCTCTCCCTGTGGATCACAGGGCTATGTCCCAAGTCCCAAGCCACCGCAGCTTCCAAGTGCAGGGCGTTTGGAGTAGCAGTTCAGGACTTCACCCACCTCTAGGGTGGCTTTTACAGGTCCCCGCCTGTCACTAGAAGCCCTCCTCTGACCTAGCCTGTCAGCCCTAGAACTGCAGCAACTACTTGCCAGAAAGTCCTGCTGCAGAGGGCTGCTCCAGTCTTGCTGACCCTTTGAGGAGATGGTGCTTCTGAGCTGGGAAAAGCCACAAATTATTACCACATTACTAAAGGAGGAAACTGAGACAACACTTTTAACCCAACGACTGAAAAATATTACCTACTGTCTGGTCAGTGCCTTCAGCAAATGTGTTCCATTGCCAGGTCCCCATGTTTCCTCCCAACCAAATCTCTCAAAGCATGGGAGTAAATTAAAACCAGAATTTTAGAACTGTCAAAATTCTTAGAGATCTCTAGTCCATTCATTTGTTTATAAGAAATACAAAAAGTTATTTGGCATGATAAAAGTCATAATATTAAACATTAAGAAGCTTGTATGCTCTGTAATAATTTATATCCCTGAAATTTCTATTGTAAAAACTCATAGCTGACAAATATAGGCTGGAGGTGGTTGGGAATCCCGAGGTACAGGTAGGCTGATGCTTTAGCACTTACTGCTTTTGTAGGAGTGCTCTGAGTTACTCCTGAATGCTGTCAGACCTCTGACCGCACATTCCTCTCAGTGACCTTGAGATTATAACTCTTGTACCGGCCTGGGTTCCTGGGGTTCTTCTGAGAACCTTCCTGGAGCGTCTCCTACACAAGTATTAAACACTCCTGGTCAACAGAGGTCAGAAGGTCAACTGCACTGGTGCTTGTTCACTAGTTGGCATTGATTTCTGCTCAGGTAGACCAGAGATGGAAGACAGTCCTGGGTGGAAGGAGCCACATGTGCCCCAGGCTGTGAGGGGCCCTAAACATAGCCAGGAGAAGCCACTGGGAAGGATCTGGGAAGGGGCTGGGAGAGGGGGCTGGGCAGGAAGGACTCTTTGATTTGGAACTTGAATCCAGTGTAGTCTGTCCGGGTTTTCTCTGGACACAGAACCACACTTACAAGTCCTGAGGTGGAAAAGTTGGGATTTTCCACTGTGATTCCCCCTTTGTCCCTCACTGATAGAATATTTAGAAATTTAGGATATATGTGTTATTGGGGATCAAAACCAGGGCCTCAGTGTTCTATACTGGACCCCTCTCCCAGCACTGTGGCTTTGGGGATGCAGTTTTCAACACATGAGCTTTGGGAGACACAAACCATAGCACTTGTAAATAAAGAACTCTTGTAAATTAACAATACAGATGGCCCGAATAAAAATGGGCAAATACATATTCTTAAAAGATTTACTGATGGCCAATAAGAACAGGAAATGGTGCACACTGTTGTTATTTTCAGGAAAACCCAGGTTAAACCCAATAGACGCCATTGTACCCAGATGAGAATGGCTGACACTGAGGATTAAAGCAGCATGGGTTGGTGAAGAGCAGACCCCGTGAGCTGCTGTGGCAGGAGGGTAGTGCCCCCTTCGAGTGGTTGGCTGGCAGGTGCTTACCTAAGGCAAAGGAAAACTTAAGCCACCAAGAGACTTCTACAAGCATTCTTTACTCATCACAGTTCACACTGGTTACAACAGTTCAAAATTAGAAGCCTGATAAAGGCATGAACTCGTGTGGTGACAGACACTGCCCCTGACAACCAGGCAGAGTGACAGTGCGTTCAGCAGCAGGTGTATCTCAAGAACATCACACTGCCTCACAAGTCAGAGGAGAGGGCACGTGTGGCATGAAATGAACTAAATGTGTATGGGAGACCAGGAGGTCCTGCTCTGGGGGAGTTGCCTGGGAGAGGACATGAAAGAATTCCGGGCGGGGGCGGGCGATGAAAGTGTTCTGAGATGCAGACACTTTGATGTCTTCACTTTGTGAAGTATTAGCAAGCTGAGTGCAAGAGTGAGAGACTTCATGAGGTACATCCTATTGCTGTGGTCTGAATTCGCCCCCCTGCGGCCCCCACCACAGTCCACATGCTGAAACTTAACCACCAGTGTGATAGTTAGGAAGAGGAGAGGTCTTGGGGGGGTGATTACATCAGGAGGGCTCCCTCCCCACGGACAGGATTACATCCTCCCCCCTATTTGCCCTTCCTTCCCTCCCTCCCACCATCCCAGGACCATCATGGAAGTAAAGACGGACCCTTACCAGCCCCTGACCCTGCAGGCACTTCAGTCCTCCCTAACTGTGAGAAATGAACTACCCAGTGTAAGCTGTTGTAGCAGCAGGAATAGACTAAGACTGCTACCTATCACTAAAAAGAGATTTTAAAAGCTGGACTGACACTTTTTTAAATTAATGGTTCTCTTTATCAATTAGACACAAATGTCCCTTTATTAAACCAACATGTAAGATCCACACACAGTCAGGAGCTAACTTACACCTGCATTAGGACATTCAGAAAGCAAAGAAATGGCAGATGCCTCACGGGCTCCGGGTCTCCCTTCCTGCACAGTCATCCTCATGCCCCACACAGGGCCATAAGGTCATCTGTGGCCAGGTCAAGGCTTGGCTCTGTTATCAAATAGACCTAAAGTGACTTCTGCCTTTCTGCACTCGCTGGGTGAACTTGGACTGTTATTTAATGTGCCATGCTCCAGGTTCCTCCTGAAAACAGTGATTGCTATCTACTGAGGCAGTTTTGAAGACCAGGTGCACAGATCCCCAGGACCTTCAGAAGATGCCTAAAGTGCTATCAGGTCAGAATCCTGTGTCCACACCTGCAGCCTCTTCCCAGGTCGGACCCTAGGCGCCTCCCTCCCAGCTGCACCCCCTACATGGCAGTGCCTCAGCTCCTCCTGCGAAGAGATGGAAGACAGCAGTGCTTGCTGTGGTGGTCCAGCCCCTCTGTTCCGAGGTCCCTCCTCAGGGGCCTCCCATTAAGGAGCTGATTCTGAACAGTCCAGGTGGCTTGACTCAGGCGTTAGGCACAGCCCAGGCCCCAGCCCAGCTCACCCTCTGCTGCTGCAGCTTTTTGTGCCTGCCTCCTGCCGGTGGCTCTCCCACTGACGCTGACGGACCTGCTTGAAGAACTTTGTCCCTGCAGTGTTCCATGGTGCCTGAACTCAGCAGGTGTCAGCAGCAGGGTTCTTACAGTGCTGGGCTCAGAAGACGTGGCTGGCACTACCAGAGCGCACCAAGCAAGCGGAGGACCTGGAGTCAGTGGCCAGCGGACTGCTTACTGTGACTCAGGGGAGAATGGTCAACAAGGCTGATGGTCAAGGCACCCAGGTAAAGACTGGGTGGATAGACCTCCCTCAGATACCCCAGAGCAGTATCACAGCTTCCATTGGTTTCACAAGCCCTTTGCAAGCCCAAACGATATGTCCATCCTGTGCTGCTCTGAATTGCCCTTAGAGGCCCCTGTGCACATGGGAATCTGCAGGACTGCCCTGCACACACCTCCTCTGGCCCTCAGGCCTCTCAGATCCTGCACACACCTCCACTGGCCCTCAGGCCTCTCAGATCCTGCACACACCTCCACTGGCCCTCAGGCCTCTCTGCTTGGCACAAGCACTCTAGGCATCAAACATAGCTGGGCAAGTGGGTCACACTGGACAGGAAACCCCTCCCCACTGGGGCATGCACTGCTCACTGACCCTGAGGCCCAGTGTCCTCCTGCCCTCCACAGGTCTCTTCAGCAGTGTTTTCCCATGAGCCCTTGGCTGGACATGCTCTCCCCTCAGGCGCGTGCTGTCTCCTCACTGTGGCCCTCCGCCCCTGTTTGCATCCTGGCACCAGTGGGCCAGGCCTACCGAGAGCAGGACCACCCAGTGAGACGTCGTGGGGAAACAGGAAGGCTGCACTGGACTGCGGTAGCCACCACTAGGAAAGCAGCCCTGAGCTGAGCACAGGGGGCCAGGACACCAGCTGGGCCCACTGCAGCTGCGGCTCGGCCAGCCTGCGTCACTCGGGCTGTGACCTTCTGGGCCACTGATCAGTGTTCTTCCATACAAAGTTCTAAAAACAACTGGCTACTTGGAACAAGAGGCCACTGCAGTGGCAGGTGTGTCCAACTCACGAGTCCCCGTGAGCACATGGACATCCCGGTGGGCACTTTACCTTTATGTGGTTCATCCAACACCCATTACACTAAGGCAGTTGTTAAAATACAGAAACAAAGATGATGAGGCCATGATACTGCAATTTTTTTCTGAAAAGGCCAGTGAACCGACCTCTCTGAGGTCCAGCAGGACCCAAAAATTGTCTCGTGGATCCACTGTTGTGTTTGACACTGGGGTAACAAGGAATTAGGTTGTGGAGTCAGATAGTGGCCAGTAGGCGACATCATGGGATACTAGCCAGCAGTGCAGATATGGGCAGCTGCTGGATCCGTGGACCGCAGGACGTGAATGTCCCAGGCCTCTGCCTGCCAAGTGCCCCCAGCTCCATTTCTCTCCACGCTGGGCATCGCTGTGGAGGAGACCCCTCTCCTTTGTTCACCAGGCTGCTCCCTGGGCTGGGCTGCTTTCCAGCTCTCTCTCAGAACATGGAACAGGTGGGGAAGTTCAATGGGAGAAAGCAGCAGGTGGATATTACAAGGAAGCAGGCTGCAGAGATGGGAAAGGGAGAGGCAGGTAGAGCAGGAACATCCAGCTGCCCAGCGGAGCACTCTGCTCACGTGTCTGAGCCGAGGGAGCCAGGGCCAGGCACGTGTTCAGCCCACCCTCCACAGAGCGCCAGCCCTGGCCTTGCCAGGGGGGCAGGTCTGAAGCAGCTTGCGTGTCCTCCTCCACAGAGCGCCAGCCCTGGCCTTGCCAGGAGGGCAGGTCTGAAGCAGCTTGCGTGTCCTGTCTCTGGAGGTGTCTCTGGGTGTGTCCCTCAGCCCACGACTCCTGACAGTACACATGGGTGAGCTTGGAGAACGGCTGGAACACCCCCAGGCCTGAGCTCAAACTGCAGATCTCCGGGACATACTCTTGAGATTGCTGGCCTTAGTCTCTCCAGTTCCCACCCCACCCCTACCGACTCCCTTTGATGGGCAGGTCAAAGGGAAAAGGGGTGCCTGTGTTTAAAAAAGAAAGAGAGGAGGCTTTGGGACCCAGCAAAGACAAGGCAGGACTCTCACTGATGGTCTGTCAAAGGGCCCTGTAATCTGGTGGGAGAAGGATTCATTGTTCCCGAGGGTACAGTGGCTTTTTGTTTTCAGAGCTCTTGCAACAACTAAGCCTGTTTTCTGGCTTTGCCCAATCTGAAGTAGGAGGTGGGGGAGGCAGAGGTTAGAGAAGTCTGAGAAAGCAGCTCTCCCAGTGACCAGAGGTACACCTGTTGGGGGCAGGGAGGGATGGGCAAAGCTCTGATGTAAACAGGCTTGTGTGAGACTTGCTGGACAAGACGTGTGTGTCTGTCACTGACACGTATGAAGGCCTGAACAAAATCCCCAGTGCTGAAAGAAAGAGAGGGAAAGGGAAAGGGAAGGAAAGCTCAGTTCTGAACGGAACCAAGCTCCACGGCAGGGATCCGACGTGTGGCCAGGGAACAGAGTGCTAGATGGAGAAGATGTTAAAAGACAAAGGGACCCAGGAGGGGGATGGAGGAGGGCCACAGCCCTCTGCAGGATTCCAGGAAAGAACACACTCAAGGAAGGGCCCTGCGATCTGCCACCCAGCAGGTGCAAGCAAGCTGGAAGGGCACCTGCCACCCAGCATTTGGGCGATGGAGTGGCTGTGTTTGAAGACAGAGGCCACACAGAGCTAGTGAGGTGGGGAGAGCAGGAATCGAGGAAGTGGGGCAGTGTAGGCAGAAGGCCTGTCGAGTGGTTTTCTAGACAGAGTAGATAAGGCAGTTGCTGTGAGGACCAATGGGTCTTAATGAGGAGACTCACAGCACCTGGGAGCAGCCCGTGCCTCCACAAGTAGAAGTGGGACAACTAGGCAAGAGGGCCCCATGTCATCACTCGGGGATCTCCCAGTGCCTAGTACAGTGACACTGGCATTGCCACCATCCCAGGTGGTGGCAACGCCCACCAGTGTATGGAGCAACGAGTGCAGAGGTTCCTCACAGTGACATCTTTTCTACTTGCAGTGACTGGAAGGCACCCCTTGGCACGAGAGATTGCTGGAGCAAGATACGTCAAGGTGTGGACTCTGATGCCCTGCCAAGAAGTCGAGCTCCGTGAGCACTGCCACGGAGGAATTTCCTGATCACAATGGGCGACAACATCAGAAGCCCAGTGGAAAGAAGATGCTACCTCAGTGGTAAGAAGGGTCAATGAGAAAACCTGGGCACATGCTTCATTTTGCACAAGGCCTAAACAATCAGGGGTTCACTGGGTATGATGGCACACACCTGTAATCCCAGCACCTCGGAAGGCTGAGGCAGGAGGATCTCAGGTCAAAGCCAGCCTCAGCAACAGCAAGATGCTAGGCAACTCAGTGAGACCCTGTCTCTAAATAAAATACAAAATAGTGCTAGGGATGTGGCTCAGTGGTCCAGTGCCTCTGACTTCAATCCTCAGTACTCAAAATAAATAAATAAACAAACAAATAATAAATATCCAGGGATCCCATGCTCATGTATAGAAAGCCATGAAAAGTACTCCCAAACTCACCTGTGAGTTCCATGTAATATCGGTGCCATGCCAGGACGGGGTGGGCAGGTGAGGAAGCAGGGGCTGGACTAAGTGCAGCCTTCAATGCTCACAAATCGCCCTTCTACCTAGGTTTCCAAATGCTATTCCTCACCAGAGAAGCTTCCAGAGGGCAGAGGAAGGCTTCCTACTGTGTTAGAAAAGAAAACAAGAGGGCCCTGAAGCAACTTGAGCAGGCCCCACTGCACATGTGGGCATTTGCACAGAAAATAAGGCATCTAATCTTGGACAAGATGAACCAAGTCAGGGTAGAGGAGGCGCGGAGAGTGGCGCTCTCCTGAGGCTAGAGAGCTGGCCATGGTGAGTACAGTGCAGGGGTGACAGGTGAGTGCCATCTTACTGAGCTCGGTGGAGACCAATCCAGGGCACCAGGGGTCTCCAGGAAACAAAACACTCAAAGCAGTCTCAGCAAGTTAACTGGTAATGTGGGAAATAGTGACTGACCAGTTGGGGAGCCAGACAACATCCTAACTGGGTGACCAGCAGGGGGTAAGCAGACAAGTGCCCTGGGCATGATACCCCAGGAAGGACCATATTTACATAGTGCCCCAGACAGACATATGTAACTTAAATCCATCCCGTCAAAAGGGCTATTCTGTGACATAACAGCTAGTATTCTTCAAAATACCAATGTCATTGAAGACAGGCTGTTCCTGGCCCTTAAGTCGGTCCCCGTGGCAACAAGAGCTGGTGCCTTTGCAGGCATGTGACTTCGTTTTAGCCAAAAGGAGGCTGGCGGTCAGGAAAGGCGGCTCACGCTCAAGGCTCTTGGCATTTGCCAAGGAAACACACCCTTCCAAGAACACCCCATGCTCACTGGCCAGCCCTAGGACAGGAGGACAGCAGGGTGGCTAGGGAGACAGGAGCCCCTGGGAAGGGGAAACTGAGCAGGGTTTCACCCGACTGAGCCAAACTACTAGCTACAAATTAGAATGTACAAGTCACTTTTGGCGAGTGAGCTTTTTCCTGAGCTGCACTTTTTCCAGGACCACATACTTTGCATCTGAGACAGCTGTGAGCTAAGAGAAAATGCACAGTGGAGTACTGCCAGGGCAGTCTTGCCCCACCCACGCTTCAGCTCTCTGTACAAAACTTTTGGGGCCTGAGGTCCTGTCCTCCCTGTGTGTGCAACAAACTCTCTGGGGTGGGCCAAGTTTGCTGAGAAATTCCTTAAGATAAAAGAAATTGTAGCCAAGAAGGGCCAAGTTCCAGTTGGAATTTTATATGTCATGTATTATTTTTTATAAACAGCACAGTAAGTATTACAAAAATTACAAAAAGGATTATAAGTTTTTTGTGCAAACTTTCATCAGGTACTTTTCAGACTAAAAGACCTGACATTTAATACCTTTCTGTAATAACTGAGGATTTTAACTAGGGGTTAATTTTTGGAGTCTTTGGGCTGGTCTGGGGTGGTGGTGTAAACAGTGAAGTAAGGTGAGTGGGGCTTCTGGCAGATTAGAGAGTAGCAGTGAGAGGGCCAAGTACAATCAGAAGGCCAATTCATCCTGAGAAAGGCGTCCACGTGGGGGGTCCAGAGGTGAGGCCGGGGCACCCCAACCACCTGGGGAGTGCAGGAGGAAGGCCGTGGTCCTGCTTGTGGTCCTGGCTTGTTCAGCACTGCAGGGAAGGAGACTGTCGCATTAAAAAAAAAGAAAATCGAGATTTCTGAATTTTTCACATCATGGCACTAAAATATGACTAGGAAAGCATGTTTTTGCTATCAAAACAGTAATATGCAGAGTACGTATTAATTACTGAAAGAGGAAAGTTTATTTCAGAAGGAACGGTGACTGAATAAGCTCTCCTAACAAAGCAGACAGTGGCTTAGAGACAGAGGCGACTCGAAAGCATTGGTGAGCATCAGCCAAAGCCAGGTTGTTTCTGTTGGTGTCCTCTTAGGAGGAGCCATGCACAGCCGGGCTCCTGGCTCCCTCTTCCTGCAGTACTGGGCCCCCAGGCAGCCCCGTGAGGGCCTCAGGCTGTGGGCAGCCTCACAGGAAGGCCAGCGCACTGCACTCCCCTTGCAGAGTGGGGTCGGAGGCCTGATTTTGAGGGAACCCAAAGAAAAGTCAGCAGCCCAGTGCTCCCCTGTACTCTGACCCCAGAGGGGCAGCTTCTTCCCATCTGGCCTGTCCCAGGTGCCTCTGTCCAGCCCCCTGCTGCTGATCTCCTGGCACCTAAGGCACAGCAGGCAGCGCCAGGGAGACCCTGGCACACGGGAGCTAGACTCTGCTGTCCTCTGTGCCTGGGCTCCACCCACAACTCATATGATGTATGTCCAGTTTGAGGCCAAGCAGAGAAAGCATCCTATGCAACGGGGCACTTCTGACTGGTACTTCTCCAAGCTCGTGCCACTGTTGCTGGGTGGGGCCCATGAAGGCAGCCCACAGCACTCCTGAGGCATGGTGGCGGTCCATGAGCCTGAGGTCCTGCTGTCAGCGTTACTAGGCAGCCCCAGTGTTTCTCCACTTCTTCAATCTGCACGACAGCATTCGTGTGGAGTAAACGCACCGTCTTCAGTAAAACACCCAAGACCTGTCTCACAGAAGAAAGGTTTGGTATGCCGTCAACTTATGGGCTCCCAGTGCGGGAGGCCAGCCCCAGCAGACCTCACCCAACCTTGTGCCTGCCGCCGTTTCTCCCCAGCTCCCCCTGGCTGGGCCAATCCTCAGTGACTACAGTTCTCTGCAGAGAATGTCACCTACAGCCACAGGCCAGGTGGGACACTGCGTCAGGCGAAGCTGGCCACCCTACCTTGGTGGATGTGCCCTTGCCAGATGTTCTGTTGCCCTCTGGGGTTTGCATCTGTTTTCTGACAGGTGCCTCTGGGCTGACATGTGACAGTCGCTCCCTGCTCGGACACCCACCCAGTCACTGGGCGTCCTCCCAAGCTAGGCATGGCAGCTACTGGAGACGTGCCAGGAGGCCAGCAGGCACCACCCTGTGAGCCTGGAGCCAGTGACGTCTCCTGCGGCAGGGGCATGAGGGAGGCTCTGTTAATAGTACCTGCCACTGTGGGTGCTGAGTGACAGGCTCTCGCCCTCACCAGAGAATCAGTGCCTGAGAAGGGCTGCGGACCAGCCTAGGCCCTCTGCTATCCTTCCATCCCTTCTGCCACCGGAGGATCCGGCCTGTTCCCTCCGGGGACGTAGCCACAGTGTGAAAGGAGGCTGGGTCCCTATCTGACACTGAACCCACTGCTTCTTGACCTTGGACTGCCAGCCTCCAGAACCAGGGCAATCAGCCTGGGATTGTGCTGTCATAGCAGCACAAGGACTGAGACCCACAGGAAGTGCCCACCAGGCTGGGCACCAGACACGAGTCGGCTGGTGCTGATGCACCCAGGAGCAGGCCTGGCATGCAGGGCCGTGTCACCATGCATAACCACAGCGGCTCCCAGCCTGGAGCTCCCCGGCTGTGCAATGGAGGCAACGGTACTTCCTGCAGGGCTGCCAGTCAGAGAAAGAGGGACATCACGAGACCCTTGGGTTGAGCTGAAGCATTGCCACCATGAGCAGAGCTATACCAGCTGGGCCACACTTTGGGGAGCAGTGGGACAATGAGAGGAGCAGGCTTGGAGCTAGATGAGAAGGGGTGGTAGACAGGACAGTCCCCCTCGCTCAATGAAAATGCTTGTCCCACGGTTCTGAGTCATTCGGGCTTCCTGGCCCATTTGGTTATCCAACTTTGAAAAAAAAAAAAAAAACATGGACACCAAGAAATATTTCCTACCCACAGAGAAAGCACAGTGCCAAGGTGCGGCACCATGGCAAGCCAAAGAGCCAGGCCGGCCCATGGAGTATTTTCCTCCCATTGTCACCAGGGGAGATTTAAGGCCAACACTGCCCCATCGTGAGTCTTTCAAGTGATGGCAGAAATCCTGACTGTTCCCTGAAGCCTCCCAGGTAACGCCTGTTCCAACTCCACCAGAGGAAGCCTGAGGCACGAGGCATGGGTCTTAATGGTAGCCAGCGCGGCCACTGAGTGGGCTGGCAGGCTCACACCAGCAGGCTGCTCGCCAGCACTGCCAGTACCACGCGACGTGTCAGGTCCGCTCGCACGCTGGTGGGGGACAGGCACCGTGCGACCTGGAGGGTGCTACCATCCATGGGGCAACAGAGGCAGAGGCTACTGGGTCCCAACATTCCAAAGCTTGTGCTCCTCAATGATAAGCCCCTGCTCAGAAAGGAGCCATGCGTGCAGGACACCGCACTGAGCGGGCAGGCTGGCGGTCCCATCCACCAAAAAAGAGGGTGTCAAGTGGACCCCTGAGGAGGACAGACTCCCAGTGAAGTGCAGAAACCAGTTCAGCCCAGGGCTTGAAAGTGCTTCTCGAGCACGTGAGGTGTGACCGTCACATTTGTTTCCAAGACAGCATATCACCAGGTGTGCAAATACTACCTGGATACAGCGTGGTAAAAGCCAGGTGCATTGGAGACCCCTTCTCAAGAGCTGGTTGCAGGTCCTGGTCAGTGAGGGAAGTTCACTTTAAGAGAAGGAAACTGACATTCATTCGGGTTCTGTAAACATCAGTCACTTTATTAAACTTCTGCCCAGTGGAAAACCACCAGCTTATGCTGGTTCCATGGGACAGGGCAGAACGGAGCAGCCATCGGGAGCAACAGGGTTCTTAGTTAAGGATCTTAGCAGGGACATAGCTTAAATAATTTTAGGATGAGATAAATAGGCATATATCTTGATCTAAGTACAATCAATAAAGTTAAAGCACCAGTCATCAAAATACACTCTCCCAAGAGTTCCATGATGCAAACAAGCAGGGGTCACATGATTTTAAGAGCAATAAAAACATATTTTCTGCAAGCACTTATTCAAAGGTGCTTTGATAAAAATATACTTTCACTTTTAATTATGTACTTATGGGGAATAAAGTGTTTGTAGGTCTGTCAACACTGCTAAGTTGGTGTGCAAATTCTACCTGGGTACAGCGTGGTAGAAGCCAGGTGCATCGGAGACCCCTTCTCAAGAGCTGGTTGCAGGTCTGCCCAGGGCCACCAGGGTCAACCATACACTTCAGGGAAGAAGTTCTCAATAACTTGCCTTAAAGTCCACAGACAAATATCAATCAAGGATTCAGGGTCTGGCCTGGGTACCTACAGGCCACAAGTAAAAACAGCTCTGAAATCCAGACATCTGCTTGCTGAACACTTACCTTATTTTGTCAATTGAGAAATACAATGGCAAAAAAAATTATTTAAAAATCTTTCTTGATTAAAAAAAAAAAAAGTGGAAGTTTTTATAACTTGCACTCCCGTCAGGGCAGGTGGCATCCTGGGTGGCAGTCTCCTACCCAGGGCCACCGCAACGGCTCCACTGCCCCTAGGTGGTACCATTACACTCCAGCTTTAAAGGCCACACTCTGGGACTTCCTTAGGCCAGATCATCCATTCCTTCCTTAGGCCAATCCTTTCCAACAGAAGGAAAATGTCTTTGGAGCACTCCCCAGCTGGCAGTGTGCCTGCCACCAGGGCTGCTCCTCCAAGCTAGCTGCCTGCAGGAACAAGCCAGAGGAGTCCAGGAAGTCACAGTGGCAAAGATCTGCTCCAGGAGGTGAAGGAGGCCTTGTAATACTCTGTGGCTACTTCAGAATTAACACTAGTGACTAGAAAGTCAGGGTTACACTTGGCTTAGATAGTCAAGACCTTATTTGTTACAAATGTCACTGTTCTCTGAGCTGTGGAACCCATGTGCTGCACCCACAGACACAGTGGCCCGCCTGGTCCCGACTACGGCCACTATGGCTGCTTCTTCTGCAGCACCTGACCGTTGGTCCTCTCTGGCCGGCTGCTCTTGGTCTCAGGCTGTGCAAAGTTCCAATCCACTGGATTGAGAAGCTGCTGGGTCTTCTTATGGGTCCAATATGGATTAATGATGAGTGTGAGCAGAGCCAGTCCAACAAGGAACAGTGCGAAATGAGGCAGGTACAGGCTGCTGACGAGGCGTCCCCAGTGCCAGAAGCACACCCACCACATGTGGTAGGTGAGGACCATGCGGCAGTGAAACATGTGGATCATCAGCCACTGGTTGAGCTTCCAGAGCAGCGTCTCGGACCAGCCGGCCTGCGGACCAACAAACGGGTGTCAGCATGCAGCCAGCCAGCCTGCTCACACCTAAGGAGGCCTCATCCTCTGCCAGCAGCGGGCTTTCTGGCCAGGCTCCGTGCTCCCTGCGTTTCACTCTCAGAGCTCTGAACCCGAGTGCCTGAGCCCTGGTGAGCCCTGCTGGCACCTCACCTGCCAGCCTTGTCACTCTTGATTTCTGCTCCCTGAAGCTTTGCTTTACCTTGAACTTGCACACATTGGGAAAATCAGCTCTGCTTATGTAGCAACAGCAGAAGATAGATGCCATCAAGCCCTGCACCTTGACTCAGGAAAAGAACTTTCTAGAACAGAGAACCTCAGGGTAAAATGCAGGTCCTGGTTCACTTTTCTTTATTTGTTTGTTTGGTACTGGGGATTGAACCCAGGGGGGTAACTACTGAGCCACACCCCGAATCCCCAGCCATTTTTATATTTTATTTAGAGACAGGGTCTTGCTTACTTGCTTAGGGCCTTGCTAAGTCGCTGAGGTTGGCTTTGAACTTGTGATCCTCCTGCCTCAGGCTCCTGAGATGCTGGGTTTATAGGCATGCACCTTTGCACCCGGCTCTGCTTCAATTCTTAATATTTCAACGTCATGAGTCCTTGGACACAGGCCAAAATGGACTTGCCTTAACTATGTTGAGTGACCACTGAAGCTAGTTCCAGCATAACTGGGCCTGACCCATCAGACCAGGAACACAAGGGGCAGGGCCCTGCCCGATGCAGACCAAGGTACTTCCTGGCACCAGCTCCTTCCCAGGACTGGGATACTGTCCTGCACTTGCAAAAGGACATCAGTAGCAGGAGCAGCCACACTGGATGCAGGGCAAGCTAGAGAGATAGGCAGGGCCAACCTCAGAGACACGTCACTTCAACTTCCACAGTCGCTGAGTGAACAAGACAGGTCTGCTGCTCTCACGCTGGCCTGAGAGTGTGCACACCACACTGGCAAACACCAGGGGATGGGATCAAGACACAAGGAATTACCTTGGTGATACACAGGGAAAATAGACAGAGAACTTATGTTGCATTCCAAACATTGTGAATGTGCCCCTGAAATAACCTCCTGAGAAGGCAGCAGACCAGACACACCTGCTCTTCCTCACACTAGACGATGGAGTTACTACCTTTGAACAGGAAACCTGCATGTGGAGCAGCCTGGGCTTACATACCAGTGTGTGCACGTGGCCGTAACCCTAGAGGGTCAGAGGCTGAGGCAGGGAGATCATGACTTCAAAGCCACCCCTGGCAACATAGTGAGTACCTGTCTCAAAATAAAAAACTGAAAAAGGGCTGTTGCTCAGTGATTGGTTAAGTGTCTCTGGGTTCAATTCACTTCTTTGGCATCCTGGGCTGTGGTGTGGAAGTTCGTGTCCCAAAGACTGAGTCCTGAGGCTCATTTATTACGGATTCTAACCACATCTAGACCCAGCCCTAGGCATGAGCCACCCTGTGAGCCTGGCAAGGCCACTTAAGTCGGGCTGGCCTCTTGTTTTGATTTATATCCTTTAGTCCTGTCAAGTCAGACTCAAAGATGGGAAACTCCAGGATCTGGACGCTCTACTCTGCAACAATCCACGAGCTTTATTAGGAGCTCAAAGAAGTTGGATATTTTAAACACAGCCTTTATTTATAACACTTAGTATTTGAAACTGGACAATAAAAAAGCAGAGCCCCGAGGCATACTGACCCTCAGCTGCATTAACTCAAGAGGTGCACTTCTGGGGTGGGTCTGCTGGCAAGAAGTAAATGCTTGTCTCCATCCTGCACAAACTGCACCCTCAACACCAACCCCAACAGTCTCTCACTAGTGGTCACTCCACCTGTGACAGTGTCCCCGAGGTGCTGAGGGCTCCAGGGCTGGCCCCACCACACCTGAGGAGCAAGCACCTGCAGAAGCCCCTCGCTGGGAGCAGGCCCTCCAGGAGGTGCAGGCCACTCCTGTCTGGGCGGGAGGGACAGGATGTGGGGAGCCCAGCCAGGCCCAGCCCTGACTTCCTGAGGAATGCAGACCGGAAGACCTCCATGTCTGTCTGCCTTCCTCTCCTTTCCTTGCCATCCCCTTCCTTTCTCCTGTTTTTCCTCCCACATTTTTTTGGTGTGTTATTGTGAGATCTGCTGTGACACATTCGTCCATGCACACAACGTGACAATATAGTTGGCCAATATTACTCTCCAGCACGTCCCCTTCCCTCCTGGCCTCCCATCCCTTGCCCCTTTTCCTCTATGGACTCTCTTTGACTTTAGGGGACACTCCCACCTTTGTTTTCTCCATATGTAAGAGGAAACACATGACCCTTAGCCTTGAGTTTGACTTATTTCACTTAACGTGATGGTCTTTAGTTCCACTCATTTTCCTGCAAATGCCATAATTTCATTTTTCCTATGGCTGAATAAAACACAGTTGTGTATATACACCACATTTTCTTTTTCCATTCTTGCCTTGATGGCCACCTGGGCTGGTTCCATAGTTTGGCTATTGTGAATTGTGCTGCTATAAACATGGGTATGCCTGTGTCACTATAGTACAAGGACTTTAATTCTTCAGGATAAATACCAAGAAGTAGGATAGCTGGATCATACGGTGGTTTTATGTCTACAGTTTTGAGGAGCCTTCATACGATTT